GAACTAAGTATTAATAGTTGAGATTTTCCAAGATCAGATAGGTATGAGATTGCTATTGCTACTGCTATTGGATTTCACTTAGCCTTGCCTATCAAATGGTTACTATCATTATTAGAATCCCGAAAGGTCAGCAGGCTAGGCTGCACTGCAGTTTCGACTTAACTTCCTACGGAATTCGATACCGAAACTTGAGTATCATGGTGGCGTTATCACTCCATTATACCGTCAATAAACAAATGTGACAACAAATTCTAACAAGGTTTCACCCAAATTACATTTATTAGATCGTTTTTTATACGTAGTTTTCGAGACTACCAATAAATCAGTCTTGCTTCCTAAAAGGCACTCTCATCTAGGCTGGACTGGTACTGGTGCTCTCGAACTCCCATTTGTAAATAAAAGTATATATTTATCCTAATAAATATTATTCGCATGCTATATATCTCTCAGGTCCTTTGGTTTCTGCTGCATTCACTCTTTTATTGGATTAAATAACTACTGGCTAGGCCTACCTTGAAAGTCGCATCTGCTCCTCAAACCAACAGTATCCTTGACTCTTGTACGTTAGGAGTGCTGGTTAAGCAAGATCAATCAGAGACAAATCGGCGAGATTACCATTATAATTTACCAAATTATTCATATTCAATATAAATAGCCTCATGCTGCTTTTGAATTTGGTGGTGAAAAGAAAACTTTTTTAAAGGAAAGGCCAAATGATATTTTAAAAACGTGAATGCAACAAAAGTTTTTATCAGCAACCTCAGTTCAAGGCAAATTGGCTATAATTCTGTAGAAAAAGACGAGGTGGCAAAAGTAGCGAGAAGCAAAGTGGGCAAGCCTGACCTCAACAGCTGCTGCTGCAGCCTCGACAACTGCCTGGGTCTCGTAGATCAGTCGTACTCCAGGCCGCGAGATGCCGGAGCTGGAGCCGGGGCCCGAATCCGGGAGACCGGCGAGGACACGGCCCATATCAACGGAGCGTCGCCGCTGTGGGGCGGATTCGGTGGAGCAAACTGTGGCGAAATCTGTCGTCGCCAACATGAAGGCTGCATCGGCACAAGAGGCAATGACTGACGGCGAGGTCGACGCCGTTGACGACAAGGCAGACGCAGCTGACGTCGATGTCGAGTCGAGGCCGAGAAGAGCCTGCTGGCGAGCGAGGGTTGCCTGCTTGCGCCTGCTTTTATACTGACCGATGGTGCGCTTCGCTTCCTCGTTGGATAGCGTCACCAGTTGGCCAATGCTATTGTGCATTTGCTTCATGTGCTTCTTAACGTCCCAGCGCCAGTTGCTTCTAAAAGACGGATGCATATATCAAATTCACGTATTGAGAGAGTGGCTATGAAAATATGAAGATAATTCCTTAATGAAGTAATGAATTTCGTTTTAAAAAGCGACATGCCACTCAAATGCCATGAATATATGAATGCTGGATTGAGGGAAGAAGACCACAGATAACCGTCTCAACCAGATGAATCAGTGCTGAGTTTGCGTGCGTCATTTGGCCGACAGCGTCAGATACAGAAAGCATCAGTTGCAAGGGTTTAGTGAATTTTTCGTCAATACTTGTTTATGGCTCTTAGAATCGAGCATTCGAAAGTCCAACGCAATCCCTTCCATCTAACTTTATAAACATTATTAATATGGAAGGTATCAAGACCGAGATGGTGTGGCCTTTTGTGTGGTCATAGTCTCCTTTCGTTGCTTTCTCATATTGGTCCTATTGGTAGGAAGACCTAGTTCGGAGTCTGTAGTATTCATGATAATTTCCAGAGTCGGAAAGTGGACGTGGTAGATTTCCAGACGTGGCGCAGGCATCGGAATCGTCAGTGAGTCTTGCCATTCTTAGCACCACAATACAACTCGTCAAAAGAGACTACAATATTGCTGTATTTTTTATTCAAATATAGTATAATTAGACGGATTCCGAAAGCCCCAGCACGAGAACTTCGAAGAGCGGACGGATACGGATGAAAGTCTTAATACGGAATTGCCGCAAAAGCAGTAATTTCTTACTACCAATTTCACCTTGAATGTTATACTTACTTTATGCATTAAACTTCCCCATGTATTTATTTTTTTATTAATTAATTAATTTATCATGATAGCTGGGAAATAAACTGTAACTAAACCAAAAATGGCAAGCATAGGGTATAAAATTTGCTGATGCTAGGACGGTTTAATTTCACTTGTAGAGCAAGTTGGAATAAAAGTGTTGGGTAGAAGAAGTGTAGAAGATTTACAAAATAAGATCATCAGTCATTTTTGTTTGGCGTCATGTTTAGTGGTTAACATGACACCTCATTTTTGAATATTTCTCATGTTAATTCAAGCAGCCCTTATAATTGTTCGTATCGCCGTTCAGTTATATTGTACAGAAATTGGCAATTTAGACTGCTTTCATTTCTTTATAAAGTACTAGACTTTCAATAGAGTTTTTAGTATGGACGGGATTAATCAAAGGGATTAATAAATTAGCTTCATCATTCCTGGCTAACATTAAAAACCAAATAAAATGGTTTAATAGAAAGTGGAAATAAACAAAGCAGCAAGCGTATTGTAAAAACTGTGGCGATATCTTAATTTGGATAAGATTAATGACAACGAATTTCTGTGTAAAGAGGAGGCTGATCCAGAACGACATGATTTGAATTAGGAAACATCATTCTGACGGGTTTCGGGGAATCTCTTGTTTCATAATTGTTGAGCTTATTTCCATTTCGAGTGAAAGTGTTGGGTGAAGAGATTCGAAGGTCGATTCCATCAAAAGAAGAGGGCGGGCGCCTTTTAATCAACTACCGATTGGCTTTTCTGGAACATTCATTCTGACGCTGTTTCCGAGGGAATCTCCTTCGATTCCGGTGAAAAGGTGCTAAGCTTTCGTCCGTCACATGACTAACATCATCAGAGCAAAATATCATCGTCACAATAAAATTCAGCTTAACGAGTCAAGAAGTATTTGTAGACGAGTTTTCTTGACTCGTCAGCTTGAATTTTGTTGTGACAATGATATCTTGTTCTGATGATGTTAGTCATGTGACGGATGAAAGCTTAGCACCTTTTGACCGAAATCGAAGGAGAATGCCTCGGAAACAGCGTCAACATGAATCTTTCAGTAAAGCCAATCGACAGCTGGTAAAGAGGAATTCGCCATTGTCTTCTGATGAAACCAACCTTCGAATCTCTTCACCCTACGATCAAGTCCACGATTCAACACTGGAGATTTGCATGACTAATATAGAACAGGGCTTCTATTTAGTCTCAGTTCGAGTTACAGGGCCTAGATGAGAAAGGGCTGGTACATTATCCCACAATTATATGAATATGCCTTAGGATTTAATTTAATTTTACCTGTTTAGGAAGCAAGGCTGAGTAGAATGCCCTGGAACCGTAGATACAAAGACTAACTAGGTTTCGATGAGTCTCCTGGGCTAATATTGTTGGGGAGATTTTCATTCTGTATAAAAGTGCATGCAGAATAAATTTGTATTGTTGAGCTTACTTCCATTTCGAGTGGAAGTGTTTCTGATTGCCTCGGAGACAGACAGCATGAATCTTCCAGTAAAGCCAATCGACAGCTGGTCAAGAGGAATGCGCCGTCGTCTTCTGGTGGAAGCCACCTTCGAATCTCTTCACCCAAAAGTTTCACTCGAAATGGAAGTAAGCTCAACAATTATGAAACAAGATATTTCTCGAAACCCAACTTTTCTTCGCAAGTTAGAAGACATGGCATGATGAAGCTGAATACAACAAATACAGATGACTACATTCTTCCCCTTCTTGCATGCTTTTGAATTCGTCAGAATGATGTC